CTTTCCCTCTCACACCACCTCACTGAACTCTGTCGTCAGAAGCTGGATATTTCCCAGAATTCCACGGGCCAGACTTGAACTCCAGGACTGTGAACAGGACAGAGCCATGTTCATTTGCAGTGTGGCTCTCGGCTAACTGCCCTCATTTGAGAATTGTTTTGAAATACTTATCATCATTTTATGAAACACTGGGAGACAATTTGATATGGGAACTGTTTTTTTTTCTTTTTGAGAGGTTTTCACTATAGGGCACGTGCACTCACCAGACAGACTGAGAGAGACAGAGAGACAGAAAGCGAGAAATCACCCTCCAGGGGGATGGCCGCAAACCCTTCTCCTCCATTCTCCGCCTGGGATCTTGGGCATGCATGCACACGCACCTGGCGTGAGTTTAAGCTACCGGGTCTGGGACGCGAACCACAGTCGACTACGTGGGAGTCCAGTGACATAGCCATTACACTAACTGCTGGTCCCGATATGGGAACTTTTTATAGTGACAGGAGAAAACGTATTGTACAGTTAACAAAATGTCATGGGCCATGTATAGGGCCTAAACTTTTAGTCCCACTTCCCCATCTGTCTGTGTCACTGTGGAAATTATCGCTGTGCCCGATACTGCAGTAATAGTCGGCCTCGTCCTCAGGCTGCAGCCCCGAGATGTGCAGAACTCCTGCATTGGCCGAGGTGTCCTTGGATCCAGAGAAGCGGCTGGGGACCCCGGTGCCCTGGTGCTTAACAGAGTCTGAGTAGTAGCTCAGGAGATAGCGGGGAGAGGTTGCCTTCTTCTGATACCAGTTTATCCAGTAGCCATCAACACTGATGTCACTGCTCAGGGCGCAGGTGAGTCTGACAGATGCTCCAGGAGAGGCAGAGAGGGAGGGCGGCTGAGTCAGCACAGGCTGGGAGAGGGAACCTGCAGACGCAGACACTCATGAATGGTGGGGTAGGTATGAGGGGGATGATTCTCAATGGTCTCAGCCAAAAGAGAGTGAGTCAGGCTGGGAGCTGCCTTGTGTCCCCAAGGCCCTTCCCTACCTGTGAAGTGAGAGAGGAACACCAGGAGGAGAGGAGTCCAGGCCATGATGGACAAAGCCTCTGGTCCCCACATGGCTGAGCTGCCCCAGGCTTCCTTTTCTTTCCACCCTCTGCCACAGGAGAGGCTCTTCATGCAAATATGGGTCCATCCAGTGACTGCCCAGCCCCTCCCTGAGCCCTGGGCTGGGACTCAGCTCACATAGGAGGCAGAGGGGGAGGGAGGTTGGCTCCACCCCTTGGGGAGCCCTGGGAGGAAGCACCTGCTGGGACAGCACAGAGGGCCTTGCTCAGGGGACTGTGCCAGTCAGAGCATCACTGCTGGGTCCCCATCATGGAGCACAAGGTCTAGCCCAGGCCCAGTTCCTTTGAGAATGGAATGCTCCAGACTGAGCAGCTGTGTAAGAATTTCTGGGCAGTCCCACAGTGCCCCCTGCTGGTCACATGCACGCAGCTCCCCATGGTCCAGAGTCCTGAGCGCCCAGCTGGGCTCTGCAGCTCACCAGGCACTGTCTGTTCACACAGCATTGTTTAGTTCCCTGAGAGTCAGACTCGGGTACATTTTGTGTGGTTCCTGCAGTGTCTCTCTCTCAGAAGTCCCCTCTGTGGGAGCTGCCCACGTACACCTAGAGGAGAGTGTCAGGTGTCAGAGTCCCCACTGAATGGCCACAGACATCTTTCTCCCTGTTGGTGGGTCTTAAGTACATACATACATGGACTTCAGTATTCTAGCATTTGTGCTCGAAAGAAATGGAGCTCCCCCACTGCTGGGGGGTCAGGAAAGTCAGGACGCATTTTGCATAGAGAAATATGTCATGAGGGCCCAGCAGATGTCGTAGCGGTTACGTCGTGAGACTCCCACACCACGAGCCATCCTTGAAGTTCCAGACCCAGTGGCTTGCAAATAACGCTGGGTGCATGTGTGTGTGCGTGTGTGCCCCCGATCCTGAGGTGAATGGAGGAGAAAGGACGGTGCAGTGACATCCCCCTCGGAGGGGGGTGATTTCTCACTTTTCTCCTCACTGTCTGTCTCTCTTTCTCCCCGCGAGTTTACGTTTCCTAAGGCAAAAAAAAACAAAAAAAAAAAACAAAAAAAAAAACCACCCTGTAATAATAATTTTAAAAATATGAAATATGTCATGGGGACCAGCAGTTAGCGTAATGGCTATGTCGCTGGACTCCCACGTAGTAGACCGCGGTTCACGTCCCATTCCCGGTGGCTTAAACTCACTCCTGGCGAGTTTGCATGCCCGCCCAAGTTCTCGAGAGGAGAATGGAGGGAAGGCATTGTGGTGTGGCCATCCCCCCTGGGGGGTGATTTCTCGCTTTCTATCTCTCTGTCCCTCTCTCTTTCTGTCTGGCGAGTCCACACATCCTAGAGCAAAAAAAGAAACAAAAAATAAATCTTGACATTCCCAAAGACATAATATTGTATTAGTTGATTTGTGTTTTCATCTCCAGTTTCTTCTCACCTTGTCCTCACAATGGCCCAAGGTCGCCGCTGTGAGCTCAGCGCACAGTGTGGGGTAGGAATGAAGCCACTGCTCCGGGCGTCCTCACACTCATTCATCTGCCTCCTCTACCCACTACTCCAGCACAGAATCATTTCTCCTGTGCACACGCAGGTTCTAGAACCGTCTTCCCTTTCTCCCAAATGCTCTCGCTAGTGATTTGGAGGACTTTAGGATGGGAGAGTCGAACATGAGATTTCTACCGATCATATTTTGAGTTTGGAGTCAGCGTTCAATATCTCATAGACAAAGAGCTCTGTTTCTTTCCCACAGTGTATTGATTCACAAAATATCTTAATCGAAATACTTTGAATAGTAAGTTCAGCTGACATGTATACATATCTGTGAACAAAGTTGACTTTAGGCGTGACACTCTGTGTGTAGAATGAATATAACATAGCACATACCTGCGGCTATATAGCTTCCAGTGGTTACTAAGTAGGCATTTTTTAAATACATTTTTTAATTTCAAGAAAGGCAGTTTTAGCTTTAATAAATCAAAATAAAAACATGTGAAGAGAGTCCAGGAAACAGGATTAGGATTCTGTTCCAATAGCAGGTACAGGGACCTGTCCACAGCTCGAGAGAAGACAAAGCTCCTTCACCCTGGAAAATGAGGTATAGAAAGTCAATGATGTTTTAGTCAAAAGTCCTGATTTCTACTTCACCAGTTCAAACTCAGGTTGGAACTCATGTTATCTTCTGTCGTGGTCCGATCTTTCCATTTAAATTCTGGAAGATAACTCTGGACTTGTCCCTACCATTAAGCTGGGACAGAGACAGAGACACAGGGAGAGACAGAGAAGGATACAGGGTCTCTCCCAGAGTAAATTCTCAGCAGAACATCTTCATGGCCTTATCTCTGAAATCACTAGATCTCAGCTCTCATGATCTTTAAAAATCATTTTGGTGGACCAGCAGTTGCATAATGGCTATCTCACTGGACTCCAACATAGTCGACTGTGGTTCAAGTCCCAGACCCAGTGGCTTAAACTCATGCCAGGCGCGTGTGCATGCGTACCCAAGATCCCAAGAGGAGAATGGAGGAGAAGGGATTGTGGTGTGGCCATCCCCGCTTGGGGGTGCTTTCTGTCTCTGTTTCTCTCTGTCTGTCTGGTGAGCGCACGCACTGTATAACAAAATCCTCTCAAAAAAAAAAGAAAAAAGAAAAAAAATCATTTTGGTAAAGGGCCAATATGATCAGTATTTAGTGAAAACTGATATTTTTGTTAGGTTTAGCATTTGCTGTGATAAAGACCTACTCTTTTACTTTGTGTAGGAAGTTTTACCTCTCACTCTTGTCACTTTCTGCAACTGTGTGTTTCACATTTTTGGTCAGGATCGTGTCTTAGCTGTCACACGTTTGTCTGCACTGGGAACATCGTCTCTCTCCCCTATATTTTCTTACTCACCATTTCGGCTTAGGAGGAGCTGACGTGGACATCCGGGCCAGCACATGTGACCATCATGGTTCTCTGCACGCCCTGTGTGGAACCGGCTCTGAGTGTGCGAGTGACCCCAATGCTCTAGACTCCCATGACTTAGAGTAAATGACCTATGGCTGAGGTCCCTGCTTCCCACAGACACCCTATGTCTAAGCCCTCAGAGACCGTCCTTACCCCACTGTCCCTGTCCCACCAGTGCTGTGGGTCTGCAGCCTCACTTTCTGCTATGCCCCTGGAAATCCTAATTTCCTGTCCCTTCTATGGTCCCCACACCAGCTCTTCCTCTGTCTCTTGGGAGGAGATGACTTTCACTAAATTGAGTTTTGTTTTAATCTTCCCAGTGGCTCCATAATTGAAATGTCTTGATTGAAAACATTTCAAGGAATTTGAAGGTGTGCAGTTGTGAAGCTCATGGCATGATAAATTTGATGTTTTTCTTTTTTTTTTTAAATCTCATTTATTTATTCATTTGTTTTCATTTGATCAGAGAGAAACACAGAGAGAGAGAGAGAGAGAAAGAAAGTGAGAAAGCAAGCCACCAGGTCCAGGACTCAAACCATGGTTGGCCTTGTGGGAGTGTCCAGCGCCTTTAACCACCACACCACCTGCCAGCCCCATAAATTTGATGTTTATCTTGCTAATGTCACCTCTTGTCACATGCTATGGCGTGTTTTACATCTGTTGACATACTGACTCTCTCTCTCCTGTGACAATGACCCATCCTCTCTCTTCTGTCTCTACCCAGTCTGTATCCTGAACTCGGCCCTCAGCAGGTGCTCAGGAGACATTAGGATGGAAATATCGGTGCCCCAAATACTTGTGGGCATCCTTGAATCAGCCCCTGTGGTCCTCTGTCCCTGTCCTGACCTGGCCTTTCATGGACTCTGTTCCCAGGGCCTCTTGCCCCTGTCACTGAGGACATTTTCATCCCGTTCTGCTCCATCTGTTGTGGATGGGACAGAAATTCCAGGTAAAATGTCAGCTCCATTCTGAAGACTGAGAAGTGGAGTCAGGGACCCTGGAACCCCAGGACACCCTCATCTGTCAAAGTCCTTCTGGCACCTAATGCTCCTGTCACAGGTTACAGGTCCTTCATTGGGTGAGGGATGATCAGAGACACATCTGCCCAGGTGCACATGCAGGTGACAGCACTGTCCCCACATCACCAGCACCCAGACCCAGGCTGTCCCCCACCATTGTCCCTCAGCCCAGAACCACAGATCCTACACCTGATCTGCGCCTCCTCCCTGCCCACAGCTCTCCTCCTTGAGCTCGCCTTCAGCACCGGAATAGACAGCTGTTTCTGGACCTCACCCCGACTTCCTCCCTCCCTCCCTCCCTCAGACACAGGTCACGGGGAATCCCAGCAGAGTCCCCAGGGCTAGTGTGGCATTGATGACTTTATGTGCTGTTGCCAATGCTTTGCAGAGATTCCGCCTCCCCATTCATTCAAGCAGGTTTTATCCAATGGCCTGGAGTGAGTCTATCAGACCATCTCCACACGTCACAGGTTTGGAACCAGGAGCTAAAACTATACATTCATTTACGATCGTTTCTTTAACTTGTCTGGCACAACTTGGCAGTGTTCAGGGAACAAGTCTCCACTTCTCTCAGGTTCATCCTCAGACCGTCATGTTGATCCTGTTACGGATGCTGCCGTGGTCTCTGTCGTACTTGCTGGTTCATCACCAGGATCTAGAACACAATTCATTTCTGCACTCGGTGATGTTCATAGCACCGACTGAAGAGCTCTCAGAGGAAGTGTTCATAAATCCCTCTGAAGACCCCAAACTGGGCAGGCTGGAATAAACCTTTCTCAACTTTCTGTGATGTTTCCTTGGTGAGGGTTGAGGTTTAGATGGGGGTTTCTGTCTGCAAAGACTTGGATGGACTGAGAAAATTTGAGCGATGAATCCACTCCCCTCAGAACTTCAGGTGCTCACAGGGAAGTCACCCCTGGGCCTTTCGGTCAAAACCACAGCAGCAGTAACTGCACCAGAAAGGAAGAAGTTAGAAAGGGGATTTTGTCTCACTTCCCCTTGTGTCTGGAGCACTGTGTAACTACTAGAATCACCGTGATAGGTTTGACAGTAATAGTCGGCCTCATCCTCAGGCTGCAGCCCAGAGATGTGCAGGACTCCTGCATTAGCTAATGCGTCACTGGATCCAGAGAAGCGGCTGGGGACCCCAGAGCCATGGTGCTTCTTTGAATCGGAGCGGAATGTAAGAAGATACCTGAGACGGCTCTCTGGCTTCTGCTGGTACCAACGTATCCCGAAGTCACCAACACCGAAGCCACTGCTCAGGGTGCAGGTGACTCTGGCAGATGCTCCAGGAGATGCAGAGAGGGAGGGCGGCTGAGTCAGCACAGTCTGGGACAGGGAACCTGCAGACACAGACACATGTGAATGATGGGGCAGGAGCCAGAGTGACATTTCTGAGGACTCTTTTCCAGAAAGCAGAATCAAGATGTCCTTGGTCCCCAAAACCTGTCCCTACCTGTGCAGTGAGAGAGGAACATGAGGAGGAGAGGAGTCCAGGCCATGGTGGACACAGTCTCTCGTCTCCACATTGACTAGGCTGCCCCAGGCTTCCTTTTCTTCCCACTGTCTGCCACAAGAGGGGCTTTTCATGCAAATGTGTTGTTGGGGACAGTGACCACTGTGTGTGCAGGACCTGGGAGGAGGCAGTGCTGGGACCACACCCAGAGAGCCCCAGCTGCTGAGCCTGCATCAGTGAGCTCAGCTCCCATGGCCCAGCCCTTGCCAATGTGGGGAAGGCCCAGCTTTGGGCACCCCAAGTACAGCCTCAGGCAGCCCTACAGTGCTCCCTGCTGCTCACTGCACAGACCTGTCTCTTGGGCAAAATCCTGGCACTGGCTCAGCCTGAGAGCCTGGTCGCTGTCAATCCACAGACACCGATGGGCCATGCCCAGCACCCTCCCCCCTGCTCAGAGATCACTGATGTTAACAAACCGCCTCTTCCTGGGAAGACTTCTGAGTTACCAGGAAGAGACATGGGAAATAGGACAGCCGTTCACTGTTGGGAGGTTGCTGAGAACTGAGGATGCAGAGGGCTCTGGGGCAGAGACCTGAGCAGCTCCTTCCTCAGGGGCCAAGGGAGGAGGCGACCGTGATCACTGTGTGAGTGCAGCCTGGGGCCCAGCTGGGGAACACACAGCAACCACTGCTGCTCGATGACGGGCAGGGCCTCAGAATATTTCAGTCTGCACAAATATTCAGAGACATCGGGTAGTGTGGCGTGTCAGGGAAGGGCAGACTCACACTCTGGGGGGTCGCAGTCTGGGATGACCCTGTTGTCAGGCCACACTGTGTGTGTCTACGGAGCTGCTTCTCACTCCTGAAGATGTGTCCTTCTTTCCTTCCCTTCTATCTCTCTTCCTTCCTTTCGTCCCTTTTTTTCTGTGCTTTGATGTTGGATAAAAGAAAGGTTTTCTAAATTCACTGTTGTGAAGCTTTTCCCGAATGTATCCACTAAGAAGTTTGCCGTTCAATATTTACATCTGGTCCTTGATTAATCTCACATTTGCATGTTGACATCCAGTTTTCTCAATACTATTTATAAAAAGACTTTTTATTTTTAATAGTGAATGCTTTGAGCACCCATGTTTGAAAATGATTTGACTGCAAAAGTTTATTCCTGGGCTCCCTCTTCTGTTGTCTGTATGTATTTCTGTATCTCAGTACCACTCTGTTTCAATTATTGTAGCTTTGTAGTATGGTTTGAAATCAGGAATTGTGATTTCCGATTTTTTTCTTCATTTATAGGGTAGTTTTGGCTAAAGAGGATGCCTAATAATTTGCAGTTACATATACATTTCAGGATGTATTTTTCTATTTTTATAAAGCAACATTGTTGGAATATCAGTAGAGATTACAATAACTCTGCAGATCACTGTGGAAAGTATAGACATCTTTTTTTTAAAAGAATTATTTTATTAAACTTTATTTATTTATTTACTTTAATTTGACCAGATAGGGACAGAGTGAGAGAGAGAAATAAAGAGAGGGCAAGTGAGAAAGCAAGCTGCAAGGTTCAGAACTTGAACCGTAGTCGGCCATGTGGGAGTCCAGTGCCCTTAACCACCATGCCACCTGCTGGCCCCTCCAGTTTATATATTCTTAGCTTTGATGGTTCACAAGTTACCAAGTGATGCTGATTTACAGAGGTGGGGTCACTGGTGAGGTCTCAGTTGCCTGCAGCTCACCCACACCCCATGCCATCCCTGCGAGCCCAGCCTGGCCTCCTCTTTCCCACACCCCTTCCTCAGCACCTCCTGCCTCTGACACAGGCAGATCCTGACCACCTTCTCCACCTCACCTGCTGTGGTCCTCATCCAGGGCTCAATAGTTAACATTTATGTCAAAACCAGGCCTCCATCTGGCCCCTGCCTGACTCTCAGCTCCTCCTCATTCATTTCATGTACAGCAGCTGACCTCATGATGTCCATCGGACAGGATCTTCCTGGTCAGCTCCTCTGCATCTACCGTCTCGACCCCGCCCCCCGCCACACACACTGACCTCTGTTCATTTCCCTGACATATCTGTTATTTCTGCAGATATTTTGATGAATATTCTCTGTTTGTCTTAGACCATGTCAGCTTCCAGGAGACAAGACCTTCCTGTCTGGCCTACCCTGCTCGCGGGAACCCCACTAGACCTGGAGCTGGCTTGTGGAAGGTGTTATCACATGGGTGGATGGATGATTTGTGCAGGACTGCATCCTGGTCTGACATGGCTGGGTGTCAGAGATTAGCACAGCTGTCCTGTTGACGCTGTCATAAACAGTTTTAGATGTCTCCTGGCATGGACAGTAAACCACGCACTGGTGTTTTTAGAGTCACAAGCTCAAGATGACCAAGTATGAGCACGTGGACCCACAGGTACTGAGGCCCCATCATTTCCCTCCAGCACAGTTTATTCCTGAGACTCTCAGAGCAGTCCCAGCCCCCATTCCCTGTTATTCCAGGAAGATCAGCTTCCACAGAACCTAGGTGCTGAGGGCAGGGAGTCTACACGGAGCTTGTGTGCCCACAGATGAGGGTTAGGCCCAAGGGACCAGGAAAGAACGGACCTGTCAAGGCTCAGCAGCAGTTACCAGCCTGGGTCAGGTGCACAGAACATCCTGGTCCCACCTTTGGGCTCATAACAGATACAGACGTGAGAGGAGGTCACGTGGGTCCTTTGTGCCCAGATTCGGTATTTTCTGAGCTCCCGAGCTGTGCACAGCTGAGTCAGCCTCCCCTGGCCCTTCCATGGCCCATCCTGAAGGACTCTATGTCTTGAGAATAAAGTGTCTGCCTGCGGGGAGGTGACCAGGCTGAGGTCCTGCTGTCAGGACAGTTCAGATCTCCTCACAGTCAGATCTTGGGAAGGTCCTCAGGTCCTCAGGTGGTTGGGGCAGTGACAAAAGTAGAGCCACCTTTTTTCAGAAACAGTCACGCGGACTAAAAGAGGATGTCCCAGGGCTCTCAACTCACTGACGCTTTTTCCTGCAGTGGTCACATCATTGCTGAGATTGCCCACCTTGTCGTCCACTGTGAGCGTGCTATAAGGGAACTGCTGGTGAACCTACCGGGGCATTCGGGAGGTGGATTTTACTTGTGTCAGTGCAGGTGACCCAGGGCTGTGCTCTGTCTACAGCTCCCTCCTGCAGGGCAGTGCTGACCACAAGGCTCACAGTGAAGCTCAGATCAGAAGCATCTGTGAGTTGCACCTAGACCCTGAGCTGAGCTTGGCCTGCCCAGCCTCTTCAGGCTCCTCCATCACTGTGAACACCTTGAAGACCAGCTGCCCCCTGCTCAGTCCTCACAGATTCGGATCTGAGATCACAAAGGTCAGGACAACTATAAGCTACTAAACTCTTGCAAAGGGATGAATTTTGGTGCACAATTGATGTCACTATGGGGGCAAACAGTATCTCTCTCCTTCACACGTTACATTTTATTGTGAATTTTCAAAATAGAACACACTTCATCGGGTATTGACAGCAGGTAGGCGTGTGTCATTTGGGACTAAAAGGGGTGCAATTTCTAGTCTCAAATAAATGTCCTAGTCCTGTAAAATGCTCATCATGAGGGGCCTTAGACATGAGGGAAAAAATCCTGCACTTGCTGAACTGCGTTAGAGAGTGAAGCAGACGAATGGTGAAATATTTAAATCCCATTCCTCCCAGTTACAGTTTCTCTGCCCCTTCCCTCCCACTCCATCTCACTGAACTGCCCTCAGGAAGCTTGGTATTTCCCAGAATGCCGTGGGCCATGCCCGGTGGTGCCCCTGATCTGTCCCTGGCAGGAGGAAAGGTGTCTCCCTGGGAGTCTCAGAGAAAGGAGGAGGAGCCTCAGCAAGACTTCGTTACTCCATCAGTGGCTGCCTCCTGGGTGAGGTTGAACTCCAGGATCACGCACACGACACCGGCTATGTTCCTTTGCAGTGTGGGGATCAATTAACTGCACTCATTTGAGAATTATTCTTACATGCTTATGGTCATTTCATGAAATACTGGGAAACAATTTGATATGGGAAACTTTTTATAATAACAGGAGAAAACGTATTTTAATGTTAACAAAATGAGTGTCACAGGCCAGGACCACTGGGGCCTTAAGATTTTGTCCCACTTCCCCATCTGTCTGTGTCACTGTGGAAAGTATTGCCGTGCCATGTACCACAGTAATAGTCGGCCTCATCCTCAGGCTCCAGACCGGAGATGTGCAGAACTCCTGCATTGGCCGAGGTGTCCTTGGATCCAGAGAAGCGGCTGGGGACCCCGGTGCCATGGTGCTTGTCTGAGTCTGAGTAGTAGTTCAGGAGATAGCGGGGACGGCTCCCTGGCTTCTGCTGGAACCAGTTTATGTAGTAGCTTCCAACACTGAAGCCACTGCTCAGGGTGCAGGTGAGTCTGGCAGATGCTCCAGGCGATGCAGAGAGGGAGGAAGGCTGCGTCAGCACAGGCTGGGAGAGGGAACCTGCAGACAGAGACACTCATGAGTGACAAAGCAGGGGCCAGTGTGATCATTCTCAAGGATCTCAGCTGGAAGAGGTTGAAGCAGGCTGGGGTTGCCCTCTGTCCCCAAGGCCCTTCTCTACCTGTGCAGTGAGAGAGGAGCATGAGGAGGAGAGGAGTCCAGGCCATGGTGGACACAGTCCCTGGACCCACATGGCTGGGCTGCCCCAGACCCCCTTTTCTTCCCACCATCTGCCACAGGAGGGGCTCTTCATGCAAATGTGTGTCCATCCAGTGACTGCCCAGCCCCTCCCTGAGCCCTGAGCATGGCTGAGCTCACACTGCAGACTGAGGGGGAGGGAGGTTGGCTCTACCCCTTGGTGAGCCCTGGGAGGAAGCACCTGCTGGGACAGCACAGAGGACCTTACTCAGTGGGCTCTGCCAGTCAGAGAAGGGGGATATAGAGCCAGCCCTAGGCCCAGGTTCCTTCAATTGGTTTTCTCTGAACAGCTTTGAAGAATCACTGGGTGGTCCTGCAGCGCCTCCTGCTGGTCCCAGTCACACATTTCTGCATGGCCTGGAGCCCTTAAGGAGCACCTGGTCTCTGCAGCTCAGCAGTCACTCACTCTGTTCACACATCCTCTGTCTGGTTCCCCAATATCTGCATTCTGATGTACTCGGTGTGGTCACTGCAGTTTCTTACTCCCAGAATCCACCTGTGAGGGCTGCAAACATGTACTTAGAGGACAAGATAAGTTGTCAGTGCCCTAGAGGACAGGCTGAAAGGATCTTATCTCTTCACTGGTGTGTTCCTAAGTATGCTGCAGTGTCTGCTTTCATCTTCCCAGCTTGGAGAGATGTATGTGTCGTTCTTGAATTGTGTCGGTGCTCAGGATGGACGGAGATAATTGAGGAGTTCGTGCATTTGAACTCAAGATCGTCTTCTTTACAATCCAGGAAAATGTGACTCACGAGGTCTGTTCTTTATGCCTATTTCACTTGAGCTTTGCTGATTAATGAGAATTTAGTCCTGAGTCTGATGAGGGGGTTTTAAGCAAGGCTGTGAAACTCTTTAGGACACACAGAAAATCGAATCTGTAAACTCCAGAGAATTTCCCAGCTCGAATTACAACATCAATTAAACAATTATACAGATGTCACTTTTAAGACTCATAGATGACTGTAAGATTCTTGTATATTTGAGCAATAATGATGGAGACACAAAGCAGGGATGAATGGAAACTTCTCGAGTGTGCATGCGTCCTGCCAACTTCATGCACTGGACACTGAATCCCCAGTGCAGTAGTATTAGAGGTGGGGGCCTAAGAAGAGCAGTTGTTCTTGTCTTCCGTAGGTGAGAGATAGCCAGACTGGGTTTTAGCAAGTGTGGGCGTGGTCCCCTATCACTCCTGGTTCCTTTGGCCTTCCGTCTTCCACCTTCCACTACGGGATGACTCACACAAAAGCCTCACAGGATGCTCTCAGACGTCTCACTCTATGGTCTTCAACTTCCCAGTCTCCAGACCTTGACCCCAGTACATTCTCCATTAATGTAAATCACCAACCTGTTTTTATTCTGTTCTAGTCACACGAAATAGACCATGACACTGCTCTGTCACAGCACAAACCAATATGTGGGTTTTCTTTTTCTTTTCTTTTCTTTTTTTTTTTTTTTTTGGCTATAGGGCGCGTGCATTAGCCAGAGAGACAGAGAGACAGGAGGCGAGAAATCACCCCCCAGGGGGGATGGCCACACCGCAATCTCTTCTCCTCCATTCTCCTCCCAGGATCTTGGGCTCGCATGCACACACGCCCGGCGTGAGTTTAAGCCACCGGGTCTGGGACTTGAACCGTGGTTAACTACACGGGAGTCCAGGGACATAGCCATTACTCCAACTGCTGGTCCCACAATATGTGGGTTTTCTATAACACACCAGCCTTCATTGAATGGTGAGACACCCAAGGTCTTGTCCTGTAGACAGTGGAGCCTGAAGCTTACCCCTATCAAGCCTCAGGACCTCTCCTTGTCATCCTCATCATCCTCATTCCATCCTCATAGAACTTCCCAGTCCTGGGTTCATGACGGCCATTCAATGCAAAAAGTCATCTCTTGTTCTAAATGCCCACGTTTACTCTAACTACATAGAGAGAGGGACTAGGAAACAGTTAACTTTGTGCTAAGTGATGTCTGGCATTTGTCCAGGCTCTAGGAAATGAACTATAAATCCTTGGAATATCTCCTGTAACCACACCTTGATCTGTGCTATTCAGGTGACTTATGGTGGGCAACTAGGTAGGCTCAGGAAGGAGATGGTCCTGCCAGTTCGACCAGCTCACTGACTAAGGGTTGGAGACTTGAGCTACTGACATCAATCCACCCTCCTGATTTTCAAGGGAATTAGGAGAGCTGGAAATTGAGTTCAATTAATTCAATCATGTTTAGGAAACAAAACCCTAATAAATAGTATACCCACTAAAAATATTTTGATTGTAGGAACCAGCAGTTAGCGTAATGGCTATGTCGCTGGACTCCCACGTAGTCGTCCGCAGTTCAAGTCCCGGACCTGGTGGCTTAAAACTCATGCCGGGTGCGTGTGCGTGTGTGCCCAAGATCCCGAGAGGAGAATGGAGGAGAAGGGATTGCGGCGTGACCATCACCCCTGGGGGGGTGATTTCTCACTTTCTGTCTCTCTGTCTCTCTCTGTCTGTCTGGCGAGCGCGCGTGCCCTATAGCAAAAACCTCTCCAAAAACAAAACAAAACAAAACCTTGTAAAAATATTTTGATTGTTGTCAAATATGGCATAACATTTGCCCTTTTAATCTCTTGTCAGAGTACACATTATATTCACTTTTAAATGTACAATTCAATGGTGTTGAGCGCACTTACAATCTGCTATAGCCATCACATTACCCACATTCACAATGTTGTCACCATTCCTCAAAGAAAATCTACCATTGAACAAAAAAATCAGTCTTTCTCCTCCCTCCCACTGTGCACTGGTGAGTAGTGAAGCAAAGAGGTAATAGTCAAGTGGATAGGGAGGAAGCTCTCTGGGCTCCAGGAACCCACCTGTTCCTGTGGATTTTGTTATTTTTGCCATTCTTGATTCCCTGTCTCTCCCCCTCTGCCATGTCCCACCCTCCTCCCACACTGTCTCTGGTATCCACGGTTGCTTCCTATGCCTTTGCCTTCCATTTCATTTATTTGCTAAAGAACTTAATTAATCTAAATACTTCCAATAGCAAGCGCAGCTGATATATACATATGCATGAACACAAGTCTGACCTTAGGCATAAACCCCAGTGAGTAGAATGAGCATACAACAAAGTAGCACCCAGCTGGGACTGTATAGCTTACTGCAGTCTTCAAATATGCGTTTTTTTTAATTTCATGAAAAATCGTTTCCATGATTTTTTTCCTACTGAAACTTTTTTTAAAATTAATTAATTTACATTCATCCCCTAATCATCATCACAGTATACAAAAAGTGGTTTTCCATCCAGAATATACTGCATAGTGGCTTAATCATGTATGGAATACATATATATTTACCCCCATGTCTGACCGTCTGCCCTTTCCCACCCTCTTCTCACACTATCTCTGGTGTCTACAGTCGTCTTCCATTCCTTTTCCCTCCACATTTTATTGATCATACAATTTCTTAAATAATCCAATTACTTTCAATAGCAAGTTCAGCTGTCATTTCAAGAAAAGGAGTTTTGAATTGGTAAGGAAATTTTCTTAAAACTTAAAGCCTGGAAACAGATTAGTATCCTGTTCAAATAGTAGCTACATGAAACTATTAACAGCTCAAGACAGGACAAAAATTCTTAAAACTGGACAACAAAGCCTAGAAGAAAAGCAGCAAGATTTTAGTGAAAAGTCACAGAATGCGATTTCACCAGTTCAGTCTCATGTACTTAATTGATCTTCTGTTGTGGTTTGATCTTCCTGATTGAATTCTGGGATATAATATTCAACTCCAGACTTGTCCCTATGATTAAGTTGGCCATTTTCTTTGTTTTTGAACTCTTATTTCTGTGTGACTACATTCCACACTCACCCTCTTCTTTCTGCTGAAACATGGTTTATGCTTATTGCTATTTTTATTGATCTCTTCTGCGTTCATTCAAATGACGTCAACTTTCTGAGGAAAGGACCCTTTCTCTCTTTTCTCTACTGTGTCCTAAGCCACATGGTCACCTCTGGCACCTGGTGCACAGTCAGTGCTCAGTAAATGCTGTGGACACATGACCTCCAGACAGATGGCTCTCCTGGGTCAGACCCAGTTGGACTCTGTGTCTTTGATCATCCCTGATCCCTGTTATGACTGAATTGTGGGCTCTCAAATCATAATTATAACCTTACCCGCAGTGTGTCTGTATGGAAGAGTGCACCTCTGCGAAGGTCATTGACGTTAATAAGGTCCTAATGGTCGGGGCCTAATTTCTTTTTTTGGGGGTGACATTTTTGCTATAGGGCGCGTGTGCTCGCCAGACAGACAGAGAGGGACAGAGAGACAGAAAGCAAGAAATCACCCCCCAGGGGGGATGGCCACGCTGCAATCCCTTCTCCTCCGTTCTCCTCTTGGGAGCTTGGGCATGCACGCACACACACCCGGCATGAGTTCAAGCCACCAAGTCCGGAACGCAAACTGCAGTCGACTATGTGGGAGTCCAGTGACATAGCCATTATGCTAAATGCTGGTCCGAATGGGGTCCTAATTTCTGAGGCTTTGTGTCTTTATTAGAAATCTGGACAGAAATTTCACAATGCCCAGAGGGTCACTATGTGGGGACACAGCCAAAGATGGCAACTGGCAGTCCACAGAGAAAGGGCTTAGAAGGAACCAATCTGCAGACAAGGGAATATGGGCTTCTAACCTCTAGACATAAGCACCTGTTTCTGAAGATGGTCAGCTGGTGGCGTTTACTGTCAGAGCCTCAGCAAATATAGGGATTATTTGTGGCATTCAGGGATATCCACTGAGAAAAATACACACCTGCTGTTGTTGAAGATGAGTTTTGGGGGGTCAGAAACAGGGAAATAGTGGTCAGGTGCTCTAGATAAATGTCACTGAAAAGGGGCTAAGGTCCCAGCTTTGGAACAAAGAAAGCAGCTGACTTATCCCCAAGTGGGTGCTGAGCAGAGAAGGCCCAGGCTGGGCAGACAGCAGGTCCTTGTCTCACTCCCCCCCTGGCCTGGAGCACCGTGCGAGCATTGATGCCACTGTC